GAGAGAGAGAGAGTGAGTGGAAGGAGCATTACGTGCATGAGAGAGAAGGATTTGGAGGGACAATCCCGGTAGACTGATCTCTCCTTAGCAATCCGAGGATGTAGTAGAATTCTGGCATTTATTTAATAAATGACATTGATAGAGACTCTAACGAACTCTACGTACTATAAACGATATACGTTTATAGGTTAAAAGACAATTTTATAGGTTACATTGTCTACATTCTTTTGAAGAGGTGATTGTTAACGCCAGAAAAATGGATAGTAGTGAGTTTCTTCTTCCCTTATTTTCTTTTTATATATTTACATCTAAGAACAATTTTTACTATTAAATTAAATTGTTATTTTTTAGGTACAGATGAAGATAGTGTTTTGGGTAGTGAGGATATTAATCCTAGAACAGTAACTTCATTTCATAGTTATTCTCAGCATCATTCAAGTGACAAAGATTCTGAGTTTGCTGAGATACATTCTAAAATGCCTGCTTTTGATAATAGTTTCAGTTATTCAAATCGCAAAAGAAAAATGTATTCCTTCTCTTCTGATGATGATCAACAATATAGTAACACACAATATGATGAGATAAATACTAGCAATCATGACGAAGGTACGCATAAAAGCAGTACTAAAAGAAGAAAAAGACGAGAAAGCAGTAATATTATTGACAATACAAAAGGAGAAAAATATACCCAAGAAATTGAAACAGCAGACAATATAAATACTGATGAAAGTGAAAATAGTCTACCACATTTGGGAATAGCTGAAAAAATGATGAAAAATATGGGATACCAGCCAGGAAAAGGTTTAGGAAAACATAGCCAAGGTCGTGTAAAACCAGTGGAAGCAGTAACACAACATGGTCGAAGAGGATTTGGACATATTATACCAGGACTTGAAGAAGCAAGTCTCAAATGGAATCCTGAAGAAGAAGAAATAAAAGTCATAGAAGACATCGAGTGGTTGCAAAATATCAATACTTCTGTACTTACAGCTAAAAATATGACAGATTGGATTAAGTTGGGGCCAAAAAAACAAACTATAAACGATGAAACAATATTTTGTAGCCCAGAGATTGTGGAGCAAGTTGTCAAATCGAAAACTATATTTGACGAATTAGACAAAGTTGAATTGCGCAAAGCGAGAACTCGTTCAAATCCTTACGAAACAATTCGTAGTGCAAGCTTTTTGAATCGTGCGGCCGTTAAAATGGCAAACATAAATAGAGCATGTAATTTTATGTTTACTGATCCAAAGGACTCTAATGCAGATCCCAATGACCTATTGTTCTTCGCAGATGTGTGTGCTGGCCCAGGTGGTTTCAGTGAATATGTTTTGTCAAGGAAGAAATGGCACGCCAAAGGATTTGGATTCACTTTGAAAAATGAAAATGACTTTGCATTGGATGAGTTCTTTGCTGGACCATGCGAAACATTTCATCCTTTTTATGGATCTAAAGAGAACGGAGATGTATTTGATCCAAAGAATCAAGAGGAATTTAAATCATTGGTGATGAAACATACATGTGATAGAGGTGTACATTTTATGATGTCAGATGGAGGATTCTCTGTGGAAGGTCAAGAAAACATACAAGAGATTCTATCAAAGCAGCTATATTTGTGTCAATGTCTGGTAGCATTAATGATAGTAAGATCAGGTGGACACTTTGTAACTAAACTGTTTGACCTGTTCACACCTTTTAGCGCTGGACTTGTCTACCTAATGTACAGATGTTTCGACAGTGTTTGTATTTTCAAGCCTAATAGTTCTAGACCAGCCAATTCAGAACGTTATTTAATATGCAAAGGGAAAAAACCTGATATACAAGCAGTAACAGAATATCTTTCACATGTTAATAATCTACTTTTAACAAGAAATGATAACAAGGATGTAATTGAAATAGTACCACTTGATATATTAGAGGCGGATACGGCGTTTGTAACATATTTGAGAAACTCCAATGACTCTTTGGGGAGAAAACAGATAATTGGTCTTTTGAAGATTGCAGCCTTTTGCGAGCATCCAACATTGATTGAATCAAGGCAAGCGGAGATGCGAAAGGAATGCTTAAAATATTGGGAAGTACCTGATAAAAGTCGCGTAAGACCACAAACTGTTAAACCACAAGATAAGATAAAGGAGATTTTAAACAATTCCATAGAGTTCCTTGGAAGCGAAGCAAAGAAACTGACTAACGATAATATAAAAAATACTATATTAAATCAACCATATGATTGGTATTGCATGCCCTGCTCTTCTGGACCTTATGTTGAAGAGGATAAAGTAGCAACGTTTTACTTGGGCCTAGGAAGAAGGAAGGTATTTCGTTACGTGAAAGGCAAGTGGCACTCTATTGGAGATGTGAAAATAGAGCTACCACCTGATACTCTTGTATATGCCGAATTGGTATATGATACAAAATGGACAGGAAAATATTTTTCCAAAACGCGTTCACTACACATTTTGGACGCTTACATGCTTGGGGGAGAAGATGTGAGCAAACTATACCTATCTTGTAGGTAAGACTCTTTTGGTTCTGAACCATCAATATTACACAAATAATACATACTGTCTACAAACATGCAGAGTTGATATAGATTCGAATTCAGTGTAACTTGTTATAATTTCTTTATAAAACATGCTTGTGTACATAAATCTGATTAATATTGCAATTTAAAAATTTTATTAATTATAGTAAATATGTATATTAGTATTTTATACATGGAAATATATGAATCATTGAGTAAAATAAATTCATTTTGCTTTGGAAATAGTAATAGAAATCTTTATAATTATTGTCTGAATGTTATTTGTTCATGCTGCTAATAACTACATAAATTATAACATATTTTGATGTATATTTACAGGTATAATCTCACGAAGAAATTTTGCGATGCACTGTGGAAACCGACTCCAAATGACTACGTTTGCGTGCGTGCCAAGGAGAGATTTATGTTAGGTCCCGAGATAGAGAACAAATTGCGGGTTGCACAACGCCGTGTAAAGAGTATGTCTGTTGCGTTTGAGTTTCCGAAAAATTTTCTAGAACGTGATAACGAGAATGACACAGGACACCTGTATTCGGCATTTAACAGTGTCCTTTTCTTAAAAAGTATCAATAATCCTTGGACGCGTTGTCTTAGTCAAAAAACGAAACATTATTATGTTTATAATATAAAAACTGGACTATCGGAATATGAAATGCGAAACGGAATAATTAATAGACCACCCGAAGCCGGGGCAAATTTCATGCAGGCCTTCAGTGAGCGTGTTATTTGGTATTGGCCACATAATACATCGGCTGATAATACATTGAATATAGACAATTTAGTTCAGATGATCAAGAACGCAGTAAATGGACCGAATCGACCGCAAAATGCTTAAGTAACACATGAATTTATTGTATACATTATAAATTTGCATGTAAATTTATATGTATAAATTATATATGTAAAGTCTAACTGTAAATACATATATATGCATATGTATATATATGTATATAATGTGTGACAGGTATGTATATAATTTATCTGCCATAGAAGAAATCAACAATTGTTTGCAATTATTTACGTATAAATTATTTGTATACGCTGGTGTATATGTATATTTGATTTACATATAAGCGCCAATTTACCTTTTTATTTCTTTTCTAAATTTAAATCTTATTTTTTGAAATAATTTACTTTTACTTATGATGTGCCATTATTATATCTGGCTGATATATTCAAAATTTTATTAAAAAATACAAAAAAAATTAGCAAATTATAAAATTACATTTACATAATAGTTGAGCATAAAACTGTTTGAAAGACTGTACTTTACGATTTAGGCTTTGTCATCTTTTATCATTTACTTATTACATATATTTTTTGTACAATTTCTTTGTAAATAAATGTAAATATTATTTAAAATAAATGAGACAGTTATTGACAAATTCTAATAAATATATCTTTCAGAAAACGATTATCTAAACATTTTGTTAGTTTTAGTAAGCTTAGAAATGTAATATCTTATTAAAAGTTATTGAACTAAATATATTTTTTTATTATTTGTCAATGCCTACATTTATATTTATTTATTATTTGAAGAAATCGTCCTGACTAGATTAAAACAAAACAGCAGCGTCGAAATCATCCATAGTGTACTTCAAAGGGAAAACAGCGTCTTATAAGTGTTCGAATGGTGATTTTCTTTGATTGTAAATAGATTTGCTACAGTATGGAGTTCTTCCATGAAGTTTGTTTCTTCTTTATGGAGAATATTACAATTATTCGAAGAAAGAAGTTGTATATAAATTATAACATGTTAATTTATTACAAACAATCTCAATACATTATTATATACAGCTATTTTTTAATATAATTTATATGTATATTTATATTTACATTATGTATAAATGTCTTTTGCATGCGCGCGCACATTCAATTTGTATAAATCATAAGAGATCACTCTCACTTTCGCACAGTTTTTAAATTTATCATTAATGTTTTCCATGACAAAAATGACTATATGTAAAAAAAATAAGGCTTTTATTTCAAATAATTTGTAAAAGCAAATATAAATAATGATGCTTCCCTTTAAATATACATATATGTATACACAGTTTGGAAGGAGACTAATGTGTTATATTTTTATTACATTAAAGTAATTATGGCACTCGTGATCATTGTTGAGCTTTTGATAATATATACACTGCGATAACAATGTTAACTAATTTATATTGCACATATTCCAAATCAGTTTTAAAATATAATTTGTTTTTATTTTTTTGATTTATATATTATTTAAGAAATAATTAATACTCTAAAACATCTTAAATAAGCATCTCAAAAGATACTCTATACTTTGTATAGAGACAAATTACATTAAGAAACATGACTTAGAAACACATTGCTCCTTCTGTTCTATGTATACATCTATTTTTTCGATACATATGTAATATATAGATTTCTATAAATGCAATAAACTGTCTTTAATCTTGTATTGCATTAAATAAAAATATCTCAAAGTTTCTTCTCTAAATTAAAATTAATTTAAATCTGCATTTTCAGAAAAGATGGAAGATATGAATGTGCAAATTATTTCAACTTAATCATTTTTGGCAGTTGGATATTTCGAACTATTACAATAGTATCATAGTAACAGTACGTTTTCAACAACTAGCAATCCTTGGTAACAAAAGTCGCATTATTCTGAGGCCTCACTTTCTGCACTTGATACATTAAATATTCATTGCAAGTTGATCGATATCCTTTTTCTGATTTTATATTAGTACAAATCTATTTAACAAAATCATGGAACGCTAACTATTTGAATCTGTCATAAAATCAACTGATTTATGGCACTTTATATTTTTTGTCTCGTAATATTTATAGAAATCCAAAAAAGGAAAATAAATATATGATGGAACATAACAAATCACAAAATATATCATCTATGATAAGAAAGAATGGTGGTTGCCCATAGAAGGCGTTGCCAGATCCAGCGCGGCACTCTGCATGGTACAAGATTGGTCATTGCGCCAGCTAAGTGACGCATCCAGTCCCAAATACCCCATGGTGCATGTCCACCGTTAACATAAAGAACATACGTAAAGCCATCTTTACACTTTCCCCGGATTGAATAGTAATACGGAAGAAAACTGTGCAGCCGAAAGTGACATCTCTGATAAAACAATATAGCAGGAGCATTGCTAGAGAGCACGTGCAGGAAGACTGCCTTTACAGAAGAACGTTCAGGAGCAGTGACATGAGCCAATAGTTGTTCCAGCAGCAACGATGCTATACCGTTTCTCCTGTATGCGCGACGTACTCCTAAACTAAGTATATAACCCACTAGACAATCTTTTCCTAGACTGGAGCACAAGATGCCACGATCTTCTTTGTTCAACATGGCATATGGTTTTATTTCTGCGACAATCAGTCCTATTATTACTCCGCCATATACTGCTGCGAGTGCATAGAATCTTGATGAGCTTGTAATATCTTCATACCATGAGTAAGGATAGTCTGTGCAGATAGAAATTAAACATTAGTTTTATGGTATAACAGTGAAAAATAACATTTCATACAAAGCTGTTTGTTGAAAATTTTTAGTAATGCGTATAACTAGAACATATTACTTGATATTTTTCATAAAAAGTATCTCAGATATTTCTATGAGCTGTTATGGATAAATCAATTTTAGAATTTGATAAAATCAAATATATTTCTGCAACAGAAAGTATTTAAACTATATTCTGCAAGTATTTAAACTATATTCCTCTGAAAATTTGACTATTTGCTGTATTGATATTTATTTTAAACCTATTCGACATTACATGTGAGTGGTAGTCCCTATCTCTCATTTGCTAACAATTATTTCACATGTATATTTTCTTTGTATTTAGAGATTTTATAACTATTTTAA